TGTAAACATTGTAATAATATATATATCTATATATATATATATATATATACAATCCCACTTTGGTTGTAAAGTATAAAAATGTCTCAATCTTCATTCTGATTAATAAATTGTAGTATTATAAGATATTTCATTTTATGGGTGCTATATATTTCATCTAAACCATACAATTTAAAAATTGGAAAAATTCATGTTGCCAAAAGTTATCTTATTATCTGGGAATTTAAAACTGAACGAAGTTTGCTGCATTGGCTCGTTCGTTTTTCTTTTTTTTTTTTTTTTCTTTTACACCTTGCCGGAATTAGGGGGGGGGGGGGGGCTTGCGCCGAGTGCAAATAAATTACCACGGCTATAATTTATTTTCTACGGCAATTTCGCTAAAATGTGGGACCTTGGTTTTCCATATCATCCGAACGACTAGACAGCTGTATGCGGGACTAAATCCAATCAGATTGACTTATTTTAACTACTATACCGAAAATTTCCGAAGAATTCTAAAAAAAAATCCCAAAAGTACCCCCAAAAAACACTGAACAATACTGAAAAAAAATATTTGATACTATTTAAGTAATTACCGAAAAAATCTGAAAAATGCTAAATGCCGAAAATTCACTAAATACCCCCCCCCCCCCAAAAAAAAAACCAACAAAAAAAAACAGCAACACTAATTACTGAAAAAAACTAAAAACCAAAATAAATTCATTTCAAAACATTACAGTCAAAATTATAATTAAAATCGTAAAATATGCTACACATTCTCTTTAGTAACTAATATTGCTAGAAGAATTTCTTAAAAGAATAGTAGGCCTACGCCTATAACGTACTATTAATTTTTATAGGTAATAACGGAAATTGGACAGGTGAATTAAATCATGTTTAAGATTGTGTAAGATTAATTTAAAAAGATAATTCCATTAACCCTTACATTAGGCCTACTGGTGAGTTTTAAAACGTATGACGCTTTAAAGAAAGTCTTCTAGCAATATTATTGTTTATTGTAACAAAAAAAAGTGGCTTTTCTTTTATATAAGGCATCGGTCAGCATTCAAAAGCTCGAATTTAGCACACCATGTCCATAGTGACCGTCCACTGATCCAGGATATTATTTAATAAATGCCATTTCACATTTTTTTTTTAGTGCTAATACTAGTATTAGTAGTATACAAATAATAAATTTAGAAAAGTCTCACAAACCTCGTCTGGCAGACGGGACACTGCACTAAGACAGGTCCTGCATTATTTGTGCGAATCGGCATTTTGGAATTAGAAAATCAAACTGGGCACAGGTAAGATCTGACAGTGTTTCATTCCGGCTGACAGATTCTTAAATAATTAATATTTTGAGTCTTGCCGGATTACTTAATACATGACGAGCGATAAGGTCACGTGAACAATTTGTATGCCGTCACGTGATTTGACAGCAACAAACGATAAAGGATTCTTCGTATTTCGCACAATTAATTTGAGAATATATTTTGAATCATAAATTTTCTCACAAACACTGATGCAACAATGATAAAAATGGAAATTGAACTTTTTTATAATTAAAAAAAAATTGTCGACCACGACGAGACTCGAACTCGCAATCTTCTGATTCGAAGTCAGACGCCTTATCCATTAGGCCACGCGGCCGCTAGAAAATTGTGGGTTTATTGTAGTAGTCTTTACTTGCTAGTCCAACTTATTAAAAGATCTTTTGTGAGGTATTTTACTTGTAGTTGTAGGGATTAGACACAATTATAGAGATTAATAATAGCCTATGTATTAATTTTGTGATTTTGTTGCATAATTACTTTAAAAATTAGGCCTATATTTTCATAAAGAAAAAAAACACTGTTTTGTTTCTCCCTTCCTTAGTTATGTGGGTGGTTCTTGCCCTAGCTAGGCTCTGGGGCTCAGGTTTAGTTTTAGTTTTAGTTTTTATTTTTAGGAAGTAATTATCAAGTAAAGAATTAGAACTAGAACTTAGAAGGATATATATCTTTTGTCTTGTTTCAAATTGGTTCAGATAGAATTAGATCTACTGTAACATTATTATATACTAACATTTGGGCTTGACCATTTTTTACTTTAGCTATTTAATATAATAGACAATTATAGTGTCTGTGACTTTTCCGACGATCATCATAAATGATAATATTATGATCGTCGGAAAAGTCACAGACTGACTATGGTGACTATGGACCAGCGTCATAAATTCGTCACAATACCAACACGTCACGATTTCGTTAAAATATAACGACCAATGCTGGCCTTGGACCTGCACAATGACTATACATTAGCCATTAGGCCTATTATATTATTCTACTTCTCGCAGTCGTTTGATTAGACCTTTTCTAGGAATTGGTTCAGGAGTATGCCATGGGCTTCCCCTGCTTTTAGGAGCTATACATGTTGAAATGACCTAGCTTTACGTGCATGCAAACATGGACACAATCATTTGGCTAGTCCTTCGGATGAGACGAAAAACCGAGGTCCCGTGTATATATTGGAATGCACATAAAAGATCCCCTGACAGTTGGAATTCGATATAAGAGTAGGCGATAGTGCCGCTGCCCGGGCAAAATTTCCCTCATAGCACACTGTATGGCGTATGCCCGTCTTCATTAGCCCAGTATAGGAGCAGAACAGTAGGACGTTAAACCTCATTTCATTTCATTTCATTTGGCTACCTCGGCTTTTCGTGTTGGGGGTCGATAGCCTACCTAACCCAAGCGGTTTTAATCCTTATTATTGCCTTGTCCCCTATTTGATTTTTTTTTTTTAAAAGAGTTGGGCTTATCGTTTCTAGGCCTATATTATTAGTGTAGCCTACTCGAGGTCTAGGTGTTGGTTGTGGAGGGGTGGGTGGGGCGATAAAGGGTTGTTTCCGTTCGGAAAAGTAGGTATAAATTGAAATAGACCTACCACAGCTATAGAGATCTATCCATTACGTACTACAAATATGTATCCTAGCTACCACTACTATAGTTCGATTTTTGTCTGTTTCGAAGGATTAGACAGTCTCTCAACACGTGAGAACCGACCTTGAAAAGATTCTAAGGTTTCGAATCTTTGTATTTTGAAGTTCATCCCCGCTTGTAGAAGAACATAATCATTCAAAAATACTAACTTTCACTGCACAAAAGGCTCGGTTCTAAAAAAATTCTAAGGTTGGCAGTATATTAAAACGAAACGACATAATACCGGTACGGCAAGATAGTATGCAATCTAAGTAAGAAATGTGCATGTAGGCTTATCATTACTATAACATCTAAACATACCACCATTCACAAAAACAATTCTCATTCAGTTTCTTTTCATAGATTGGGAAATATAGCTACGGTCCACCCGTTTGTTTTATTGTAAGGCAATTTAAGCATAGATGACCTCCCAAATAAGAACCCACAAAGAAAATAAACACTCAAAACCTCAGTAAACAAAACCCTTTGTTAGTGTTATATATCACAGGGCCGAAAATAAAGTTAAATCCTCCTAGCACGCAGGTGCGAAGCCCGCCGGCATGGGTCTAGGTAGAAAATAAAAGCAAAATCTGATTATTGTCTTTTAAAGTCTCTTTATGGACTGAACCTAGAGGTCGACACTGGAAACATGGGTACTAGTGAGCTGATGCGGCTGGCGCTCACTCGACTCGTCCGATGTCGTCGATCGAATGCCAGCTGATCTGATCTGTGCAACTGACCACCAGTTCTCATTAGGAGTCAGGAAGCATCACTACCTTACACTTTTTTTGGAGCACTACACAATTTTCTTCCGAGCATGGTTTTCTTATTTTAGAAGCATAGATTTTTCATTTCATGTTATTTTAGACCCTGTGTTACCATGATTCAAGTATAAATTACAATATTTTCAAATTATTTTAAAAGACAAAAAAAAAAAAAAAAAATCACTAAGTCTTCATTTAATTCATTTCACGGTGACTGTCTGCCCATGTGCAAACGTTGCTACAGCGTATGAAACTCTCCCCTTGTTAAAATGTGGAGAAAAGTTTAAGCCGGGCAAATAAACCAGAATTTATTGGGGAAATTAATGGCGGTCTGCATCCCTTTGCCTTTCAGGTTGTCTCCCTTGTGAGTTCATATTGATTTTGATTTTCCAACAATTGCAACACTTTCAACATATCCAGACAAATAATTGTCAATCTGATTGAATAATTGTATTTTGCTGAATAACCCTGCCTATCAACATTAACCCCTAACTCCAACCTACCCGATTAAAAAATAATTGCGAAATAGTAGCTCTTCAAGTTTAAATAGCCTATATATACATAGCTATCTATGAAAATATTCCCCGACTTTATATATGCGCTTTGTTTTAATCAGCATGGTCTTTCCATCTATTGTGCATCTTTATCCCAGCTGTTTATGTTATATATTTGTTGATTTATTGGATTTCCCAATATTGCGTGAGTTTAGACCATAAGGTCTGTTAACTAAATCAAGTGGCGTGGCTTCAGTGCCATGCTTGTACGTGGCAAGGAACTCAGGGTCGCCTGTACACCCTGAGTCCGGGTCCCCCGGTTCCCCCACTGCTAAAGAACCCCAAAGCGCGAGCGAATTATTGAAATAAATTGAACCATAACTATATGTTAGTGCCGAAATGACAAAGTTTGTGTGGATTGGACGTTAAACCCTGATTAATTTTCCTCCGTTCGATCGTTCCTGGAGTTTTACGTCCAATTCCACCGAGAGTGATATCGGAGACAATTCTCCCCCCCCCCCCGATTATCTCGCTCCTATAATCTGGAATAGTTCCAAGTATATAAGGGAGATAACTACATTTAAATTATATTCTGACAATTAATGATAATGATGCAACGCTTTTTAACATGTTTTAATTTCATACTTAAGAGCCAGAGTCCCTGTCGTTGGTTTCTATTGAACAAATATTATTATATATCGTTACTAAGGTGCATGCGGTTTGTATTATTAGGTTATTAAGCTTCTAAAAATATATTGACGTATGTTACTAATTTTAGTAACACATATTGCACAAGGGGCATGAAATAAGGTATATATTGGGCGTGTGGCAAATTGGTTTAGAGTCTTGTTTCTAAGTCTTTTAATGGGAATGTTTTGTTATTGTTAGTGCTGAATAATATAAGGTAAATTTACAAATATTATTTTTAAAATGGAAAACCATTACGAACATGAATAACCAACATAATTATCTATCAAAATTCAAAATTATATTTGTCTAGTAGCTATAGCCTACCAGATTCCGGACCTTTTTTACGCAGCGAAAACGCCTGTAGGCCTACACAGTCCAAATGCTCTCCTCGCATTCTATAGAAAATGAAATTGACTTTTAGGAGCATTTTCCACGCTGATACAGGACCAAGTAGTAAACATATACATACATGTATTAGTTAGTGGTTATATTAGTGCTAAATGATAAGGGCAGCTCAATTTAGATTTAAACAGGGCTAGCGCTAATCCCAACCCTAACCCTAACTATCTGGACCTAGCCCCAATGCTTACCCTAACCCAAACCTACAATCTGGCCATGCATCAATCACGTACCCTAACCTTATATATTGACAAAAAATTGAGCTGGCCTTAACAAATAGATTTAGCCATTATTATAGGGTTAATATAGCGACGCTTCGATTAGGCGAGGGGTTGTGCAGGTCAGGACGGAATTTTTTTCGACTCCTTAAACAAAGGGTAGATTTTCAATCAGGAGAAAACAGTAAAATAATTCACGAAAACAACCAACTGTTTAACAGTTTATATCCCCGTGTGACCGGGGTGGCGTCCTCACTGCGCTGCTACGGCGATGGAAAATGGTCTCGGGGTGCGCAAAGATCGCCATATTATAAGCGTAGTCAAAGCGTGGTGGAAACGCCAGATATTGTGCTGTGGTCTCGTCTCTATGGTCGCAAATGATCGCCAAGTCAAGGCGTTTCTTTTGAGCATGTTCAAAACAAATGCCAAAGTTCTGTGACCTAACTTGGAAAGCTGTGAGAACGCGGCTTTATTCAGGTTTGTAATTTTTGGGGACATTTTCTCGCGTTTTGTTCACGTTTGCCGGCGATTTTGTGTATTTTCTGGGCGCCGTACGGTCGCAGCAGCGCAGTAAGAACGCCACATCGGTCTGACGGGGGTATTAAGTATAGGTTTGATGTGTGTTTTGTTTTACATGGATGTGGGGGCTGTGACGGTGAGTGCAAACCCCAAACCGACCCTTTATATACATCACTGTTCTTACTCGGTGACATGGTCGTCTCTTTATAAAACTAAGTATACGAGGGCATAAATTTCAAGGGTCCATAATAATTGTTATTTTATATTTACAGTGATATGATGTGTTAGCTAAATTAATCAGGAGAAAAAGAAAATGGAGAAATGATTTGACAATATTAATGATAAACATCGAATAATGAAAAATTCAAACATTTCGTAAAAGACAAGGATGTGTAAGGTGTATTGACTATGTTGTAAATTTTTCGTGTAGATATTAAATTGTTTCACGAAAGCAGTTCATATTTTAATATAAACATTCCAATGATTCTCGAGGAAACAGACATAGCATATAAATTATTCCACTGGAAGAAAATGTCTAGAAAACGCAACAAATATCCAGACTATTTGTAGCAACACGATTGCTACAGCCATGTGTGTTTTAGTGTATACTAAATATAAAAACATGTGATCAGCAGGAAATGGAATAAAATTCGAACTGAATCCGTGGGCATTTTGGAATCTATTTTGAAAAGTAAGTATAAAGTCAGGGTCGTCGAGGGTTAATTTTCAAATATGTGTTTATTCTTTAAACAATTATCATGCTGACACGCCCTCCGGAATCCCATTTGGCTCGCTACTCTGACAGCCGCCAACCCATACCCTATGAATTTCGATTCGATGGGCGTGTAAAGTCCAACTGATAACGTCGCCAATGGATTTCATTTCATTTCATGTCAGAGCTTCAGTCACACTAATCTCTACTCTATCTGATTATTTTAGGGGGGTTGGATGGCTGAATGGTTAGCACGTGCGCGCTCTATCATAAAGTCTGTCATTGAGTCAACTGGCGTGGTTTCGATTCCCCGGTTGTACGTGACAAGGAGTAGGGTCGCCTGTCCAACCCCGTGGGTTTTCTCCGGGTCCTCCGGTTTCATCCCACTACTAAAAACCCCTACGCGCAAGCGAATTATTGAACTAAAATTGAACCATATGTTAGTCCCGAAATGACCTAGTTTGTGTCGAGTGGACGTTAAACCCCATCTCTCTCTCTCTCTCTCTCTGATTATTTTTTATGAGACTAACCCTAACAAAATTCAAAATATCAACGGTAGATTATCTCCCGGTTTGGATTCAATCATATTGAAAAGAGGCTTTGTCCAACAATTAAAGGTGGCGCTGGCCTCTTTATATCACCCACAGAGAATGCTGCAAAATTTTCTATATACCATATCATTGAACCTAAAAGGAATATCAGTCCAATATAGCCCTATATATTAGTTTATAGGGGATTCAATGCCCAGTAAATGTTCTAGAAACAGTAAAAATAATTAACTAGTAACATCTGTGTCTAATAACAGGTGTGCATTTTTAATTAACAAATTTCTTCCTTTTGTGAAATTATGTATACCCTTCGATTTTGTAATTCCTACTAATTCTTGTTTTTCACTTTCAGGTTTATTATCGTGAAATTCTTAGACTTTACGTGCTGAACAAAAGTCCAACTTTAGATTTTGAATTGATATAGACCAACCTGACTTTACTTGAGGCAGAATATAACTAAACAAATATAGAAATATAAAAAGTAGCCAACGTCGAGTTTAGGCTTCCATTAAATTCTTTTGGACCTGCATTTAATCATACTTTAACTTAAGTTAGGCCCAAGTCACTTATATTTAGCGTTCCTATTTACAATGAGTCGAGCAGGTTTTTCACGCAGCACGTTTTTATCAGCAAAAGCTATCAAAATGGATTCCAGGGGTCAGAAAAGGCGGGAAAGGGGGGATTTCTCTGTAAGGGCCGCGAGTGTCCTTCTTATTGGGAAATCCCTCCAACTCACCTTTCTGATGGATAGAATGATGAATTATAGGACATTCCCTGCCATGTCATCATCTTTTTCGTCAATGACGTCATATATTTTGAATGTTTTGCAAGGTTTTAGGAACTCAAAACCATATACGGAGAAGTATGGCGCTGAAAATTCAGAATATCCTCTATTCGAGAACTATTTGAAACGCGTTCCTCGAATAAGTTTCAGAGTCGAAAAAAAAGACAAGTCTATTACGTCTAATATTGATGAATTAGTCGAATTAAGCAATGATGGCCAATTGAAGCGAGCTGAACTCGAATTCGAGATATATGAACTAAATTCAAACGGTATAGAATATAATGAAAACGAATTCTCGTGCGACCACGACTCGGATGAACCTTTTGAACATCAATATTTTATTCGTTCTATACGGCCGGAAGCTACACAAAACCTTAATTATAACGGTCCAAAACAAACCGAATTCGAGATAAGTGAACCGAATTCAAATGACATGGACGATATTGAAATTGAGTTCTCGTGCAACGACAACTCGGATGAAGCTCGTGAATATCAATTTTCTGATCATTCTATTCAACGGGGAGCTGTTACCCAACAGTTTGATGAAATTAGATCTGAAAAAGAAAATTGCTGCTTGTCCAAACAAAAACCCGAACTGTTCAACATTGAGCCGCTTCTATCTCTGTCGCTTACAAAAGAGCAATTAATGACAAACGTTTGCGTTGCGTCCTTGTCTGCATTTCTGCGAAGGTTGAGAATTAAACACAAAATTGCCGAATACAGAGAAAAACGAAACAGACAAGATTCAAACGAAATATTCTGCAAAAATCTTCTCTTAAAAGATCGAAATGGAAACTTCTATTATTTGATTTGTGATGAAAATAAATCCGTCAACATGAAAAAAGCCGCGAAACTTTTGGGCGCTTACAGAAACTTGTCATTTGCTTCTTCGGATGAAACAGATCACCTTCTTCACTTGAAAAGCGGAGAAATAACCCCCTTTGCTTTAATGCATAAGACTGCCACGTGCATTAAAGTTTCTATAACAGCAGATATCATTCTGGATGAAGAGGCACTTCTGAATTTTCACCCATTTGATTCGAAATTGACCTTGGCTATAACCTTGAATGACCTTCAAAAGTATTTGACTGCTTTTAAACATGAATTACATTTTCTTCCTTTGTAACATATGTTTTTAAATATAAAGTTCATTAATTGTAAAAATTTGTGTTGTATTTTCCACACCCACTAAAATATCGGAGAAACATAAAATGGAAACATGTTATATAATGGAAATTAAATTAAATGGGGTTTAATGTCATACTTTTCTGTACCAACCGGGAAGGGGAATCACAGTGGCTAAGTGGGTAAGACGCTGGCTCGCTAACCTGGAGGTCGGGTGTTCGATCCCTGCATTGGCCGAGAAAGTTCATCCAGATTTCCCGGCGTGGTTCCCCTTGTCAGTGATGCAGGACGGAGGGCCTGACAAGGACAGCTGTCTAGTCATTCGAATGAGACGAAAAACCGAGGTCCCGTGTACACCATTGCGTGCACGTAAAAGATCCCTTGCCAGTTGGAATTCGATATAAGAGTAGGCCGTAGTGTACACTGTATGGCGTATACCCGTCTTCATTAGCCCAGTTCGGAGCAAAACAGCAGAACGTTAAACCCTATTTCATTTCATTTCATTTCACCAACCGGGAAAATGAAGATAAACATAATCTATGCAGTGTGCTGTGGGGGACATTTTGCTCGCAAGTTTTGCACGTTTACTCTTTAATGAATTCCAACTGTCAATGAATCTTTTAAGTGCAGGCCAAAGGGTACACCGGACCTCAGTTATGCGTAATATGCGACTAGACACTGTTCGTTGCCAGACCCTTTGTCTGTCTCATACCACTGGGAAACCATGCCGAAAATGCCGAGAACCCCGGTTAGTTAGACAACGCATCAGGGGCGGATATAGAAGGGGTTTTAAAAACGGAATTAAAAACGAACTACCAGGGTTGGAAGTATATTATTCTTTATCTATACTTCAAGCTTAGATGGTTCCTCTACTTCAAACTGTTCAACAGGTGTTTCTATTATTATTTCTGGTGGTCGAATAGAGTTATCCCCCGCTGGTTCTTCGCTCTCATATCTAGCAGAAGGTGTCGTTCTTATAATCTCGCGCAGCAGCTGGGAAACGTCTCGGACCAGGCTCGCGTCTTCATTCCTACATAGTCTCCATAGCTGAAATAGCCCGTCTGTTCTTTGAACTTTCTTCAATATCGTATCCAAATCTTCCTTGGGTACATATTGTGACAGGACTGTCTTCGTGTAAGTTCCATAGCAACAAAAAGTAACGTAACAAACGAACCCAATCAAGGACAAAATAGCAGCGAAGGCAAACCAAAGACTTAACAAAACAAAATAGTTCTCGTACACGCTGTTAATAGCAATCGTACACATTAATGTATACACTTGACGGGTTGAATGAATTTGGACATAAGTTTCGCAAAGAACAGTTTTGGGAAAACCTTCATCTGTGTAAGAAATATCAACGACACCATTTGCCGATGTGTTATAAGTGGCGGCACGACTTTGATCCCTGAAGTGGAACTTTATGAACAGAAAGTGGAGAACCAGGTTGACAAGGATCATGACCTTGATGATTAGAAGACAGAATGTCTGTGTGTTCTGTGACGCAGAATCGAAAATAGTTTCCGCGATCTCCGCAGCAACATGTTTCCCGCCTTCTGTTATCTTCCTGTCATGGGTTGATCTGTTAGGGTTAAAATATCGCTTAGCAACATGACGTAGACCTTGTGGAATGCTAAACAAAAGTAACATAATAAACAGCATGAATGGTATCCAGTCGTGAGGCGACGTCACGCGTGGTTCATCACTTATCAGCTTGTCGTCTGTAGTTGGGGTGGTGTCCAGAATGGGCTGGTATTTGTCGTTCAGCCAGCAGGCTTGGTGAATGAAGTAGGCATGCGAATTTGTCATATGTGCCGGAATATAACATGTTATAGCAGACCGGACGAATAAAGTTCGGACAGCTATAAAGAAGACTGCGGGTATGGCGATGAAGATGACGCTCCAGAAGTAATTGAAGTCGTCGGTAAAGTTGTTTGACCTTCGTTTTCCCCCAGCAAAACTCAGAACCATCATGTTGATCGAATGTCCTAAAAAGAAAAAAAAATTGATATAGGAAAAATTCTTAGAATTTTAAGAAGACAGATCTTTGGGGAAAGATTTGTTATTAAGCAAAAGCTACACAATACTAGTACTAACACACTTCAAACTGTTAGGGAAAACCACACACAAGTCTGTATAATGTCCCCGGGAACATAAAGACGCTCTTATCCCCCACATACATGTAGCTTAGTCTGATGCCCATTTTATTGGTTCGATGTACATCGATTCAACAAGCTCATTACTGGCTTGACACGTTCAGATAAGTACAAAATGAAAGCGCGTGCATGATGTTTTCACTATATTGCTAAACATCCGAAATAAGGGGGTTGATTGTGTTACTTTTACTATCTGTTAATTCGAAATGCATACCATTAGGTGTTTAAAAACGATTTACTATATCTCAATTCATTTAAGTTTGCAACCGAATAAAGATAGAACAACTATCAAATTACCTTAATAAGCAAATAATACGCTATCACGTACACGACACCTATAGCTTGTTGTCGCGATCAATAAATCGATATTCCTTTAACGGTTCATATCGGACTCCGATAGAAAGTTCCTCGTGATTTTCCGGCGTGATTTCTCCTTGTCATTGGCACAGGTCGGAGGGTACCTACAATGCCAGCTGTCTAATCGTTCGGATGGGAAGAAAAGCCAAGGTCCCGTGTACACATTGGCATGCACGTATTCTCGACTTCATTAGCCCAGTCGGAGCATTTCATTTCGACTCAGATAATATGATATTGGTGAATGAGTCTATTAGCAACACACTTGGCTCATTATGTTTCAGTTTCCAGCTTTATGTTCCTATATCAGTGGTGCCAGGGGGGTGGGCTGCAAGGGCGAGCATCTAGTCGTTCGGGTGGGACGAAAAACCAAGCTCCCGTGTACACGTAAAATCTGATAAAGACTAGACATGAACACCGCTACCAGGGCAAAGGTCTCCTCACTGCAAAATCCATGTAGAAAAGTAGGACGTTAAATATACTATATTTCACTTACTCTCTGGATCCCTCAAGGGCGTGTCTGTTGATAGCTATGGATAGAACTTTATTGCAACAGCTAAACGTGTTCAAAATTGCCAAAAATATTGGATGGTGGGCCTCCAACGCACCCCAGACCCCTATCGATTTACTGGTGTACGTCTGACCTATGGTCCCTGAGTTTAGTCGCTTCCTGCGGCAGCTATCAAACCCCACTGGGGCGCCGTTACTATACCTTGTCCCTCATGCTGCAACAGTCCCAAAGCGCTAATGCAAAAAAGAAAACATGGCTTACCGTATCTAACATGAAGTCTTTTGTTGAGTATATCAAGGACACAAAATTGTTGTTTGTTTGATAGCCTGTCGTTCTAGAAGTCTAAATATACGAATCGGCAAAACAACATTGTAAGCAATTAAAGTGACATCCCCTTCAGCCCAAGCTCTGAAATTGGTTACTAGTTGTTCTCATTCTTTATAGAAATATTTGTTTAGAAAGACACATAACAATTAATGAATACGCTAGATAGTCTCACTCATCATAACATACAATGCTCCGACTATGACCACAACGCATATTGCTAGTTTGTTTGGAAAAGATAGCAGCCGTTATGCAGATGGTAAATAGTAACTGACTGTCTGACCTTTTCCATACCCAATTCACGGAATGACTGTTGTCTCGCTCCACTGGTTAACAATGACTTATATCGGTCCACCCGTTAATCAGGACTTGTCTCAGTCCACAAGTTAACGAGTCAACAATTACTTGTCTCGCTTCACTAGTTAACAATGACTTATCTCGGTCCACCCGTTAACCAGGACTTGTCTCAGTCCACAAGTTAACGAGTCAACAATTACTTGTCTCAGTCCACTTAGCAACTTGTTTCAGTCCACCAGTTAACAATGACTTTTCTCAGTCCACCAGTTAACAATGATTTGTCTCAGTCCACCAGTTAATAACGACTTGTCTCGACCCAACAATTAACAATGGCTTGGTATATTCGGTATATTTCCAATACAAATAGAGGGTCATTTATCCTCCAAGCAAATCGCAAAACAAGCGAAAATATTAACTTGTATACAAATTTAGCGCTAAGTTGTTCAGACCGCATTCGTTTGAGTCGAAGCGGAGACAGTATGGACTGGGTTGATTGCGACTATGTATTGGGAATGTCAACAAGTCACAAGGGCATAGTATAATAATTGTAATGAGCTGTTCTAGTTTATCAAACATGCAAACAAAACATTTTGATAAAAATAAAATCGTCTAGTATACGCGTGTAATTGTCCCCGAATGTTAAGAATATTCATCGCTATGATTCGTCTTAATAAATCCATGATGTTCTAAAATAGACGAACTATGCGACTGAAACGTTTTAGCTCATGGAGGTCTGTCTCATTTAAACATCTATGTTTTATTAAAAAGGACTCACCAACCGGTGTTCGACCGAAAACGTTCCTCGGGATTTTCTGGTGGTGCAGGACGTCTAGTCGTTTGATCGGAACGCTAATAAGAGTAGGTCCAGGCATTTTTGAAGGAGGGGGGTTCGCCAGGTCCCTGTTAAGGAAGTGTGACAATTGACAATGCATGATACAACCATCGTCTCCAAATTACATAGGCATACATACACACTGAGCTTTTTTTAGAGAGAAATCCAACACCCCGTTTGACGTCGATTTTTATAATTAATACGATCACAGTGTAAATTAATTTCATTGATGCAAAGAATCAATTGTGATATCACATAATGTTTATATCATTATCCCGCGCTCTGAATGTTCATCCCATCCCACCATATGACGATAAAGGATAAAGCACGCGACCGTGAGTTTTTCCTATAAAAAAGTGCTTTACAATTTTTTTTTATGTAGCTGAGCAGTCTGGGAAAACTGCCCGCACAGCACACTGTATGGCGTATGCCCGTCTTCATTAGTCTAGTCGGAACAGAACAGTAGGACGTTAAACCCTATTTCATTTCATTTCATTTTTTGTCCACCTCTCTCCAAACAACGATTTAACTCTGGTTTGTTATCGACACAGATTTTATTTTAGAAACTTTGCATGTATTGCACTGGTTGTCGCTTGAATAACCTATTAAAACTAACATTCCACACTGTACGAGTCATCATAAACATTTTATTCTTCTTATCACTAACGACATAATAACTGAAATATCAGCCCAATTAACAACATAATAATAACCGTTAATTACTAATTAATACATATCTCAATAACTTGTATTAATATTCATATGTACATGTAATTAGTGCAAACTGTGCAGAAAAGTCACTGGTTCCAAAGTATGCAACCGATGGTCATCATTTTATTGGAATTTTAAACCCTTCGTGAACTACCGTATGTATTATAAACGTTAAATCTCTAAAACGACAGAGAGAGAGAGAGAGAAATGGGGTTTAACGTCCACTCGACACAAAGTAGGTCAATTCGGGACTAACATATATGGTTTAATTTTATTTCAATAATTCGCTTGCGCGTAGGGGTCTTTTAGCAGTGGGAGGAAACCGGAGGACCCAGAGAAAACCCACGAGGTTGGACAGGCGACCCTACTCCTTGTCACGTACAACCGGGGATTCGAAACCACGCCAGTTGACTCAATGACAGGCCGTATGATACAGCACGCACGTGCTAACCATTCGGCCACCCAACCCCCCCATCTCTAAAACGAATATATCATTCTATAGAAATGTGGCCTATATTCAACACTTACAAAAATATGATGAATTGAACATTTTCTCTGCAGCGCAATCCTATAAATGTAAAATCTTTTGATGGACCTTTTTTTCTATTCTGATTGAATAGATATTGGGAATTATGAGGCGCGGATCCAGAGGGGGGGGGGGGGGGTCAAACAGGATGTTGGATTTCTCTGTATAAAAAGATCAATGTGTATGTATTTACGCCAAAATGACGATAGAGACCATATATTTCTCCAAAAAAATCAAGTCGAGGGGAGGGGGGGGGGAGGAATTCATTTTCTCAGGAAACTGGCAAACCCCCTCCTGCAAAAATTCCTGGATCCGCCCCTGATTATCTACCGTAAGATTGATATTTCGGGTTGGTTTCTTAAAGATACTTTATGTAAGATTTAGATAAAGAGCTGGTCGTTCTTGTTATACAAAGCTAAAAATAGTTTATGATAACTGAACATATCGTAAAATTACCTTATTCGCGTGAAATTATGGCAATTGCCGATTAACTGTTCATATACTCGATTGTCAAGTATGTCCACGATAACAGACGAAGTCTCGATTTTCAGTCCTTCAATCTGCATTTTTGCCGTAAAATTTTTAGATTACGCTCAGCGGCTTTAAAGCAAAATGAAATGAAATGAAATGGGGTTTAACGTCCTACTGTTTTGCTCCGAACTGGGCTAATGAAGACGGGCATACGCCATACAGTATGCTATGAGGAAATTTTGCCCGGACAGAGGCACTACGGCCTACTCTTATATCGAATTCCAACTGTCAAGGGATCTTTTACGTGCTCGCCAATGTGTACACGGGACCTCGGTTTTTCGTCTCATCCGAATGACTAGACAGCTGTCCTTGTCAGGCCCTCCGACCTGCATCACTGACAAGGGGGAACCACGCCGGAAAATCTGGGTGAACTTTCTCGGCCAATGCAGGGATCGAACGGCTTTAAAGCGATATTGGCATGTCGGTAAAACAATAATTGTAGATTAGACTTGATATGAATAAACAGTAAGACTGTGTGTGTGGGTATCAAGTAAGACTGCATGTTAGCACAACACTATTTCAACAGTTCACTTGTGCTTTGGTGTTTTTTCAGTTAGAGTAATAAGGAAACCAGCCCCCACCCCCCTCAATCATGCTAAAAAAAAGCCTCAAAAAACAAAACAACTGAGATACGTATGTAATCACTGGTTTATTAAATAATGTCAAAAGCAAAGCATAAATGGACTACTTCCATTTGTTGGTAATAATCATTCTATTTATTTTGGTCCTCCGGTTTCCTCCCACTGCTAAAGACCCCTACGCGCAAGCGAATTATTGAAATAAAATTAAACCATATGTTAGTCCCGAAATGACCTAATATGTGTCGAGTGGACGTTAAACCCCATTGAAATAATATTAAACCATAGGTTAGTCCCGAAATGACCTAGTCTGTGTCGAGTGGACGTTAAACCCCATTTCTCTCACTCTCTCTCTCTCTCTCTCTCTCTCTCTCTCTTCATTTTACAGCCTAATGTTTGGACAAAAAAACCCGGTCATTCGTTTCCTATATATTTGGTATATAATCGGTGACATATGCTGGAACACATGCGTGACAAGCACGTGGAAAAATACTTGACAGTTGGAATCCAATGAAGCGTAGGCAGAAACTTAGCTGTTCGGGCAAAAGTTTCCCCATAGCACACTTGGGTATTTTAATCTTTATTAGCCGGGTTTGTGCAGAAAATTAGGATATTAATTATTTAGTGGTCTAACCTGAAGTCAACGTGGTGAAAATAGAGGTTTATCTCCCCTTGAACACAGAGCGTTTTATGACTAAATATATTTGTTAAGGCCAGCTCAATTTTTGTCAAGGTCGTTGAGATGTAAATAAGGTTAGGGCACGTGATTGTTGGCGAGATTGTAGGTTAGGGTTAGGGTAAGCATTGAGGCTAGGTCCGGGGTTAGGATTGGGATTAGCGCTAGCCCTGTTTACATCTCGTGACATATACGACGATAAATTGAGCTGGCCTTATCATTTAGCACTAACCGCGTTTTTATTCGGCATCGCTACAAACATAATTCGTAGACATGCTGTTAGAAAACGATCACTGAATAGGGAAGCATTTGAGGGCACAACGCTCAAGAACTAAGAATTAATAAGTTAGTTCGTGATTAATTTTTATTTGATAAATTCCCCAATGGCATTTTCCGTCAGTAGAAGGAAGCTATTGGAGAACTCGACAGAAAAGAAACCTACGCACCTTCTTGGTGCAGAACTCCTGTTTGACAGATATATACATCGAAATATCTCAGCAAGAGCATGTTGAAGGTCCTGCAACGTCAGTGGTGGATTCACTTGCTGACGAACACGTCGACCCAGTTCGTCCCAGATGTGTTCAATAGGATTAAGGTCGGGACTAAGCGACGGCCAATCCAGGACTTGGACACCGGCATTTCTTAAAAAATACTGGGTAGCAATTGCTGTATGGGGTCGAGCATTGTCTTGTTGAAACGTTAGTCCAGGCCCATGTCTCTGCATTAACGGAAGAAGAACAGGTTGCAAAATCTGATCCCTGTACTGGACAGCATTTAAGTTCCCTTGGACAACAACAAGAGGAGAACGTCCATGTGCACAAAAAGAACCCCAAACCATGACGCTTCCGCCACCAAACCGGTCAACTTCTCTGACGCATACTTGAGCGTAACGTTCACCTCGTCTGCGGTACACTCGGACCCTGCCATCGTCAAATCT